CTCCTGGGCTTATTTTTCTAGAGTCAGCAGCTGGAGGTTTTTTCATTTCTATGTCTTGTCATGTTTCTGGTTGCTTTCAGACAGGTGTGTCCTGGGGGTTTCTGGCCCTCTCTGTATTGGTTAGGGTCTTTCTGAAGCATGCTAACTGGGGTTTAGCTGCCCTCCTCAATTTGCTGTTATCTGAGGTACATGCAGTGATGCAGGGACGGTGCAGGCTAGCCTTGAACCTGTGAGCCAGTTGACCCACAAGTTTGTTTAGCAACTTAGGCTGTACCTTGTGGAAGTCACAAAGTCGTGACAGTTTTGACCCGGGCCACTGGGTCCCAACCAGAGGCATAGCTCAGCCCCAGCAGATCCTGCCAGTCCTCTCTGCACTAGGTTTGTCCGACTGACGCTGATGCGGCGCCGGGTTCTGCCCATCTGTAAGATGTCCTCTAGCCAGGGACAGCATCCCTGGGACCCAATCCCCAGCACTCACTGGGGAATCAATGCAGTTCTCCATCTTGGCTCCACTCCACGCTGCGCCATGTTCTCCCGCCAATGGCTGGGGACTTAACATTTCCTGTCATTGGCAGCCGTGGCTTTAGCTTGACCTTGAATCTCCTGATTCCACGGAGCTCCCAGCACAGCGCTGAGTGGTCTCAGTGAGCACGTGGGGCTCCAGCCCTCCACTCGCATTTTTCCTTCCTCCGCAGAGGTAGATTCTAGCTTGATGTGGTTTTTCCATGTCTAGATCAGCATCTTGCCTCTTCAGAAAACCGTGTAGTACCTGGCTTTGGTGCCCAGGTGCATGGTCCTCTCTGTAGCCTCCTCCGGCGCGGCCAGGCAGTTCCAGCTGCCCGGTGTGGCCCCAGGACCGTATTTCCAGTACTCACTGAGAGCCAATAAAGCTCTCCACCTTGGCTCCACTGCACACTGCGCTGCATCCTCCGGTCAAGGGCCTGGGACTCATCGACCCGTTATCAACAGCTGTGTCTTTGGATTGTCTGACTCTAGGGCGCGCCCAGCACCAGCACAGGTCTCAGTCAGAAATGCAATTCTAATGTCTGTTGGACTCTTAAAAAATTTTGCAGAGTGAAAAAAGAAATGCACAAAAGGACAAATATCCAGTATTAAGAATATAATAATTTACAGGAACAGAGAGTAGAATAGAGGTTACCAGATATTTGGTGATTGGGTAGTGGAGTTAGTGTCTTAATGACTGCAAAGCTTCCTCTTGCAATGATGTGAAAATTTAGAAACAGATAGTAGGGATAATTATACAACATATTTTAGTTAATTATACCTTGAAAAATAGTTAAATTTTAAATTTTATACATTTTCCCGTACCAGAATGTGTGGGAGTAGAGGTATTGATGACATAGAAAAACGGAGGCATAAGAATGAGGAGATCAATAATCCATTGTGGAAATGTTGTGTAAAGGGTTTTTTAAGACTTTTTTTATTTTTAAATATTTTTGTGTTTTATGAGGTCGGAGTTAATGTGACATACTTATTTGGTGATGTGAATGATATGGAGAGGAGAAAACCAATGATGTAGATAGCATGGAGATAATTGCTGGAGTAAGTTTTTGGGGAAGAGTAAAGGAGTCTGATGATGGTTTATGATGTGGCAATGGATTATTGATTGGCGACAGCAGAAGAGAAAAATACTGTGATCTGACACATCTGTGTGTGGTTATATAAAGTATTTGAGCCTTTTAGAAATTTTTTTCAGATTGTTATTTTTTGAGGACCTCTGAGTAAAAGACGGGGGGGGGGGAGGGAGGAGTGAAGATTTGATGAAAGAGGAGGAGTAAAATATCATTGCACGGAGAATCAGGAGCAAATAGTATGAACATTCTTTATGTGTGGGTTAGGGATGCTAAGGCCTACAGGACAGAAGTGATCATGAATTTGTAAAGACAGCAGCTATTGTAGTTGTACTATTTTTTCTGGTGATATTCTACTACAGTATTTGAGTAAAGATAAATAGTGAAGTTAGAATAGCGGATGAGATCATTGTAGGGGAGGAGGAAAAGAAACTGAGAGACCAGAGTTTAGGAATGACCATCTCTGGATATTGAAATCATCAAGAATTGTGACAGTGGCATTGGAGGAGAGATCAAAAATTTCACAGAGTGAGCAGAATCACTTGGTGGTTGTATAAAGGCAACAAGGAGGGATGGTGAATCATGTTACCTATTTTATAGTTTTTCATCATGTGTTAGAAACACATATGATATAAACACGTGATATATATGTTGTGCAACATATATTTTAGATTGTTTGAATGAATGCAGTTTTTTCTTAAAATTTTGCTTTCAGGTTTTCTTAGGTATGTGGTGAATTTTGAGTCTTATTACTCCTCTTCTTTTGTCTGATCTTTAAATGTTGACTCTTTAATTTTATGCCAAAGTTTCTTCTAGGACTGTGGGGAATACTGATAGTCTTGATGTGAACTGTTTAAAGTAATGCATGACATAGATCCATTTGACTTTCCTAATTCACCACTTGTGAAACATAAGGAATTTAATGACTCTGACTCTAAATATGAATCTTTGGAATATTTTGGCAGAGTGGTAAATATAATGATGCTGGTTGGTTGTTCTTAACATCTCTGGACCAACCAGTGAAGGAAAACAGGGAGTTGAAAGCATCCATAGATAATTTAAATTCTTTTAACTGTGAGGACAAATCGATAAAGGAAAATAGGAGCTCAAAAATTCACATTCAGACACACATAAAATACTTAAAAGTTTCTAAGTGTGTCTTAAAGTAAAATTTCCTCTTTTTTAATTGAAGGGCTGATTGAGTTTATAGAATTCCAAACACAGGTCCTCATAATTCATTCAGCTGAAATACAGCACAAGTTTAATGTTCAGTGTTAGAGGGTATCTAAAGGTGAGAGCTCTGATGGAAATACAGTAGGAGATTACTATCTTTTTTATCTACATGTTCCAAAGTTATAATTTAACTATTACATAGATGCTGATAGAGTGCCAAATTAATTTATTCTCCAGCTCATTGCTATACTTGTGCTTTAGAATTCAGCCACCTCTTTTGTGTCTTCACTTGCATATCTAGTAGTCATTTGCTACATACAAAACCCGAAGTCCCAATTTCCTCCACTGTTTTACATTTCATTAAATTGTAATAATACCCATTCAGTTGCTAAGCCTTTCTGAGTACCTTTTTCTCTCTTACTACCAAATCCAGTGAGTCACCACCATATTCTGCCAGCTACAGTTGTTTCTCGTAAGCTTTAATGAGTGCTACCTACACATCAGAAGTTCTTTAGGAATTCACAATATTTTATTTTTAATTAAGTTCTTGAGAGAAAACATGTCTTACTAGTTAAGTTCTGTCTTTACTGGTAATGTTTGCTTATTTCCTTTTAAATTCAAAATTATTTTGGTACACTAATTTATTGAGGAGTAGAATTGTATTAAACTAAGTCAGAATAGGCATTTATATATAAAACTTTTATGGACCTTCATCTGTATTCATTATTGGTCACTATGTCTTCATATTTCCAGAGCATTTATGTTTCTTGAGACTTTAAGGGAAATACGTGATATTTAGAAGGAAACATTAGAATTCATTATTCATTGTGGACTAGAATAATGTATGGAATTAATTTGTGGTTCATATTCTGCTCAGAAAATAAGGTCATATTTCTACATTAGCATTTTGAACAATTGATATCAGTCCAGCAAAAATCATGCCAAATTAAATGTAGCATTTTCCGAATATTGTTTAAAATTGTTCTTGTAATGTTTGAGTCCTTTTAATCAATTAATTGATTTTTCTCAGCAGTAATTATAGACAGCTGATGGATGATCAAGTTTAAAAAATTTGATTTTACTTACTTGCTTTAGTTTATAGAATTGTACTTTAAAACAGCAGCATTGAATTTTCTATTTCTAAAAAATAGAGTGTATTACAAGAAATAGAGCCTGATAATAACTGAAAAATGTAATATGTAAAAATTGAGAATGATTAGTTTTTTTTAACCACATCAAGTTTTATTTGGCTTAAATAACTTTTTAAAAAATGTTATCTTTGACTTTGTGTTTGAATTTTAAAATATCACATATCTATTTTGTAAAAATAAGGCAGAATACCTTAGTTTTTTTTAATTTTAAAATTATTTATTTTAGGATAATTTTAGAATTAAAGAAAAGGTACCAAGAGTAAAGAGAGTTCATTTACACTTTTCACCCATTTTCTCCTTTTTTGATGTTCTGTGCTATCACAGCAGATTTACCAAAACTAAGAATCCTAGTTTCATGCTTTGCTATTAAGTTTCAGAATTTGAGTTTCATGATGTTATTTTTACATGTCACGATCCAAACTGAAGTGCCATGTCACAATGAGAGCAGTACATTTAAGCAATAATATAAATTTTCAAATTTTTAGTACATATAAATGATTTTAGCTCCATGGGAGCAAAAAAATTGTCAGCATCTAAGTTAGCATTTGTTATCTAGCTGGTACTCAATAATAATTGTTTCATGACTGAGTGTATGAAATGAAGTATGAGGCATGACAGTGAACACCTATGATCCTACCTCCCTCCTAGCAGCTACAAAGTTCCATTGCATCTGAGTTTCCTCACAGCTTTTTTATTAGAAAAGTGAGGAATTTTGAAAGTGATTGAAACTAAATATGGCTTGATATATTGATAAAGATAAAATGAACTGAGGTTATGATATATGTATATTTTTGGTAGAATATATGAACTGTTTTATGAGGGGGATTATTTCTACACATAGTTATAGTTTTTAAAGCAGTATTAAGGAATTTTAAAAAATAGAATTTAAATAAATTCAAAGTAGCATTTACAACTTTTATTCATGGATATTCTGTTACAGCTGTTTTTGTTGCATCTGTATTCCTACTTAATAATTAAATTTCCTAAATTTTAAAATTGGACTTATTTTCATCAGTTCATCATAATACTGACAGTTTATTGCCATTTAATTCTAATTTTGATTTACTCAATATCCATTTGTTAGCTCACTGAAATGCAAGCTGAGAGCAGTTATTATAGTCCTCAGAAAGTAAAGTCTAAAGAAGTATTATGCTGGGAACAAGAAGGAACTACAATTGAGGTAATCTTTTAGCACTAAACATATTTTTAAAAAATCTTTATATGTTCTTAGAGTTAATATTTATAGCTAGGGGCTGGGGTTTTAGCTCAGCGGCATAAGCACCTGCCTTGCAAGCAGGCAGTCGTGGGTTCAATCTCCGGTACCAATTAAAAAAAAAAAAAAAAAAAAAAAGACAAAAAAAAATATTTATAGCTAATAAGGCATTTATTGTATATTTAAAAATGTAATTACAGTTTTGTTTCAATTTTAGTAGTCAGTATTGAAGTGATTATTTAATATTTTGCTGTAATATGCAACATGAATTCTTTATACTTCCATTAAGGTTGACCATATATAGCAGATTTACATGGGTATGTATGTGTGAATGTTTGTGAAGAACTAGTCATTTGAGGATAAAAATGTTTGAGGATTTAGAGGCAAACGGTAACCTTTACTTTAACAGAGTTTATGGTCTGATGGAAATAAATATGGAAAGGCCATATTCCTAAAGATTTTTAACTAAGAATACAGCAAGGAGATCCTGAACATTTTTATTTATTAATTCCAATTCTTAGTTTTAATGTTTCCCTTCCTCTCATAGGCCCTAATGATGGGAGAGCCTTTCTTTGACTGCCAGATTGGGTTTGTAGGTTGCCGAGCCGTGTGTCTTAAAGGAATTATGGGTATTAAAGATTTTGAAGAGAATATGAATAGAAGTGAAACTGTAAGTCAAAATTTCCCTTTTCCCCCTTTCTTGGATAGGATGCAGGGATAATGAAGTGCTTAACCTTACAAAATTTGCTAGGCTACATTTGTCTCTGGCCTGAGAAAGGAGCTTTATTGTTTTTCTCTGCATTTTCCCTCAAAGTTACACAATTCAGGGGAATTTAAAAAGTTGGAAACACTTAACACCTGGACAGTAGCTCAAAATATTTTCCAATTTGTAACTGACTCTACTTTCATCTTTCTTGTTTATGGTAGCTACTTGGAGTTTCCTTTTGGTCTGTTAAGATGTTCTTTGCCAAAAATAAGGAGTGGAGATGGAGATAGCATTCTTTATCTTTTTATAGCATCTCAAGTTTTAGTAATTTTTGTTAACTACCAAGTGATTATTAATAAGACTACAGTTTTATTTTTTTATGAGTCAATAGCTTTCCTACTGTTTAATTTTGTGTTTGTTTTCAGGAAGCATGTTTTTTCATTTGTGGTGAGAATTTAAGTACCAAAGGTTTCACTTACCTTACAAATTCATTGTTTGATTACCGAAGTCCAGAAAATAATGGTACTCGTGCAGAATTTATCTTGGATGCAGCTTATCATAAGGTCAGAGACTATATTCTTGAGACAAATTCTAGGCTGTTGGACACATTATGTGAATATTTGTTATTGCCATCTTCTCAAATAGTATTTTCTGAATGGTGATTGTTCATTGAAACATTTAGAATGGTTTTGCCTAGCTCTACACCTAGGAAGGCTAAAGGAATGCACAGAAGTGGTTTTAGTTTTATGTAATATGTGACCATTAAAGTGCTTTTACATGTCCTACTGTTAAAATATTCATTGAAGAAACACGTAGAATTAATTTTCTTAATTTTCATTGCCTATAGAATGTGGGACTAAGAAGTGTATTTCAGTTTTCACTATGTATGTGTTTTAATTTTGTTTGACTTTCCCATTTAAGAATATCTTAATATGTTTATGGAATATTATTAAGTTTATAACAAAATTCAAAAGTTACCAAAGATTAATAGAATAATTGACATTTTAGCTTTTTCATGAAAGCTTACTCTTATAGTTAAAAATTGAATGTTTACCTGTGTAATTAACATAAATTTAGAATTTTTTAAATGTATCTTTAATATTTGAATTGTTTCATATAAGTCTGTTGAAGTACTTGAGGACTTGAAGAGTCTACATTTTAGTGAGTTTTGTGATAGTGATAAAGGTAACTCCATTATAGGTATTCATTAACTAGACATTATTGATAAAGTGATCAAAATGTCTAGTAGAATTATGGATGTCCTTTTATGACCAGCAGTGGTAATATTACCTTTCTGAGAAGTAATTCTTTGGGTAATCTCTGTTCTTTTGTTATGATAATCCTTTGAGTTGATACAGTCTATGTAAGAATGAACATCTCTCTGGAGATTTAGCTCAGCGGCATAAGCGCCTGGCTTGCAAGCAGGCAGTTGTGAGTTCGATCCCCCGTACTGATAAAAAGGAAAAAGACAAAAAAAAAAAAAAAAAACAAAAAGAATGAACATCTCATCTATGAGGTTTTAAACTCAAAAGTTTCTTCTTTGTAAACGTTCTGTTTGCATTGCTTTGTTGGCAGGAAATATACACTGAGATGGCTGGAATGCAAAGATTTGGGGCTTTTTACATGGATTACCTGTATACAATGGAGAACACTAGTGGCAAAGGTATTGGTTTCAGTCTATTTTCATGACTTTTCATGACCGACAGATGCAAAGGCATCCTTAGAATCAGATGGCTCTTGATTATGTGTTATGTTAGATTCATCTTCTGATACTTAGAGAATGTTTTAATTTTAATGTTATGTTAGAAGATTTTGAGATTTTTGTCATTTTTAATTTAAAAAATAAAAATTATTTGAAACATTTTCTATAATTAGAATTAATTCTCATGTGCTAAATTTTAAGATTTTTAAATCAAAACTCAAAACTTCAAAGTTATCAAAAAGATTACACAAAAGTGCACATAGTGGCACATACCTATTATCCCAGATATTTGGGAAGCACTGGCATAAGGATCTCAAGTTACATTGCTAGCAGGTGATTTAGTGATCCCCGTCTCAACATAAAATTAAGAAAACAAAAATAAAACTAAAAAGTTTGGGCATGTAACTTAGTGACAGAGCCCTTGCTTGGTATATTCAAGGCCTGGAGTCAGGAAGAAACAAGGAAGAAAAAGAATGAACATTTCTTTTTCTGTATTAAATACATTTTAAAGGTTGTATATTTTTTCTTTTTATTAAAGAATTTGTTGTTTTATGCAGAAAAGTAGAAATAAGAATTTTCCAGAGATTATACATATAAGTTTCCAGAGATTGTATATATAGGTTTTATTATTGTTCTCTTCATTATTGTTATTTTTCATTATATAAAATAATATTTTCTAAACTTCCACCATTTTATGTGCACATTAAAATGCATATTTTTTCAGTTTTTCTATTATATTGAGAAGTTGAAGCTTTCTCTGTGTAGGTGATTTTGTCTTGGCTGCTGGCTCATTAAAATGTTAACATGTGCTGGAAGATTAGGTACTCATTGGTTTCTCAAGTCTTAGATACTGCTAACATGGCATTTAAATAAGTGATTGTTATACAGCATGTTAAGAGCAGTAGTGTAAGGGGCTGAGGATTTAGCTCTGTGACATAAGCACCCGCCTTGCAAGCAGGTGGTCGTGAATTCGATCCCCGGTACCAATTAAAAAAAAAAAAAAGAAAAAAAAAAAAAAACAGTAGTGTAAATGGAATGAAGAGAAGTTCAGGTAAGAAAGTTAACAGTTTTTGTTTGAAGACTGGAACACTTGATTTTGAAGTAAGGTGTTTTTAATTTTTTTTTTTTTTTAATTGAAGAGAGTAGGAAAGAGAAGTACTTTTGTGCCTACTGCCATTTGTAATGATTTATAAAAGTTGATTTCATTGGCCAATCCCTGGATTTCTTCAGAGACTTTCTTTTGATGTAATTTCATTATTTTCCCTGATTTTCAGTGTTATTAATGCCTCATTTGTATTTCTAGGCCAAACTCCTTAAGTTTTTAGAATTAAATGTCTGATGTATATTTAACATTTTCACTTCTATAACTTATATACATATATATCTGTCAAAACTGAATAGGTCCCAAATTGCATTATTAACATCCCCATGATCATCTACTACCTCTTCAGTGTTCAGTTATGTTTTCTTAGAAAATTATACCGTCATCTTCTTGTTGCTTAAACCAGTAACCTGCGTTATCATCACGACAAACTCTTTCCTAATATCCAATTTACTGTCACATTTTGTCAAAGTTTGTCCCTAAAATCTACCTTGTGACCATTCATTTCTTGTAATTGCCACTCATCATACTCTTATCTAGTACACCATTCTCCTGTAATTCTCAGAGGTATGTTAATGGTCTTCTTGATTCTATTCTTCCTGTCTTACAATGGATATGATACTCAATTGGATTTAATCCCCTGCTTATGATATCCAGAAGCTTCTAGTACTTTATTTAAAAATAAAATTTAAGTAGTTTATTAGATTGATGGATATTGATAACTACTAAAAAAGCAAGAGGTAAGAAAGGAAAATGTTCCTTAGCCAGTTAAATATATGAAAGTACAACTTAAAAAGTTTGTGTTCTATGCTCTTTCCAAATTAGTAGATATTTTAATTGTCAACTTTAAGCCAGCAGGATTTTTCTTGTTCAGCTTAATTTCTTATTTATATAAAGTGGACTTGATGTCTTAGGAGGACCTGACAATGAAATATGAAATAGTAATCTTTCAAGTAAAAAAAAGCTAGTCTTGAAATTTTATCAAATTTTTTGTCATCCCTGTGATTGGTATATGTGCTTCTGCTGTATTTTATAGAAGATAGAAATATGATCTGCCCGAAGATAAACTAGGTAAGACTGAAGACAAGGACTTTTTCCGGTTAAGGAGGAAGAGTACAGTAGAAAGAATACATGAGAGACTCATCCAAATGTGCATGAAATAACATCAACAGTCAACAAATAGGATCATATTAAATAGTTTCTGCACAGCAAAGTAAACAGGTAGCAAAGTGAAGAGACTACCTACAGAATGGGGAAAAAAATTGCCAGTAATCAGACAAAAGAATAATATCTAGAATCCATAAGGAGCTGAAAAAAATTAGGATCCCAAAATAAAAGACCCAATCACAGAATTGGCAACTGAAGTGAATAAACACTTCTCACAAGTTCAAGATAGTAAATACATGCAAAAAATGTTCAGCATCACTGGTGATTAGTGAAATACAAATTAAAACTGCTGAGATTTTGTCTTACTCCAGAAAAAATGACTGTCATCAAGAAATCAAACTGTACAGCGGCTGCACGTACCGGATGGAACTTTCCAGAATGCATTGCGAGGTGGAGGAGCCATTGCTGCTCGGCCTGCGCACAGCTATACGCTTCTTCCTACTTCTCCCACTCCGGCCCAGCCCGCCCACTGCCTGTAGAAAATGGTGAAAGAAACCACTTACTATGATGTTTTGGGGGTCAAACCCAACGCCACCCAAGAAGAACTCAAAAAGGCTTATAGGAAACTGGCTTTGAAGTACCACCCTGATAAGAATCCAAATGAAGGAGAAAAGTTTAAACAGATTTCTCAAGCTTATGAAGTTCTCTCTGATGCCAAGAAAAGGGAATTATATGATAAAGGAGGAGAACAGGCAATTAAGGAGGGTGGAACAGGTGGCAGTTTTGGATCCCCCATGGATATCTTTGGTATGTTTTTTGGAGGAGGAGGAAGGATGCAGAGAGAAAGGAGAGGTAAAAATGTGGTATATCAGCTCTCAATTACCTTAGAAGATTTATATAATGGTGCCACAAGGAAGCTAGCTCTGCAGAAGAATGTGATTTGTGACAAATGTGAAGGCCGAGGTGGTAAGAAAGGAGCTGTGCAGTGCTGTCCCAACTGCCGAGTTACTGGAATGCAAACAAGAATTCATCAGATAGGACCTGGAATGGTTCAGCAAATTCAGTCTGTGTGCATGGAGTGCCAGGGCCTGGAGAATGCATCAGCCCTAAAGATAGATGTAAAAGCTGCAATGGAAGGAAAACAGAGAGAAGATTCTGGAAGTTCATATTGACAAAGACATGAAAGATGGTCAGAAGATAACATTCCATGGTGAAGGAGACCAAGAACCAGCACTGGAGCCAGGAGATATTACTCTGTTAGATCAGAAGGACCATGCTGTTTTTACTCGATGGGGAGAAGATGTTTTCATGTGCATGGATATTACAACTGGTTGAAGCACTGTGTGGCTTCCAGAAGCCAATATCTACTCTTGACAACAAAACCATAGTCCTCACCTCCCATCCAGGCCAGATTGTCAAGCATGGAGACATCAAGTGTATGCTAAATGAAGGCATGCCAATTTATCGTAGACCATATGAAAAGGGTCGTCTCATCATTGAATTTAAGGTAAACTTTTCTGAAAATGGCTTTCTCTCTCCTGATAAACTCTATTTGCTGGAAAAACTCTTCCTGGAACAGAAGGAAGTAGAAGAGACTGATGAAATGGATCAGGTAGAACTAGTGGACTTTAATCCAAATCAGGAAAGACGGTGCCATTATAATGGAGAAGCCTTTGAGGATGATGAATAGCATCCCAGAGGTGGTTTTCAGTGTCAGACCTCTTAATGGGGCCAGCAAACACCACTCACTGCTGGCGGTTAGTGCAGTAGTAAACGCGTGAAGAAATGTAATCATCATATGCTCACTACTTGATGTTGTTTTTGTTTCAATATTCAATTATAGTAGTTTTAAAAGTTAAATGAAGAATAAACACAATTACAAAAGAAAAAAAGAGATCAAACTGTAACTAGTGCTGGTGAGGCTGCAAGAGGAAAAAGAAAATCATTTACACTAGAGGTGAGAATGTAAACTGCTATAATTAGTATGGAAATTAGGATGAAATTCTTCACAAAACTAAAACTAGAAATTCCACACGGCCATTTGCCTTGTAGATACCTTCCTGGAAGAGTTAAAGATATTATATAATAGTGATAAATGCATCTCTATGTTTATAGTAGTGATTCATAATAGCTACATCTTAGAAACTGCCTATGTGGGCCCGGGATTTAGCTCAGTGGCATTAACACCTGCCTGGCAAGTGCAAGGTTGTGAGTTTGATCCCTGGTACAAAAAGCAAAAGGAAAAAGAAAAAAAAAAAAGAAAAATATTTATAAACAATGGAATATTCCTTGGTCATAAAGAATAAAACAAGTCATTTGTAGGAAAATGTGTGTATCTTGAGATTACAGTGTCAAGTGAAATAAACATACAAGCTTAAATATTGCACAGTTTTTCTTATATGAGAAACCCAAAATATAAGTAAGGAGCAAAATGAAAGGTAGACAATTGGAAATAGGAAGATAAATCTTTTGCAAATGAGAAGGAGACCAAGAGATACAGGGAGGAGGGGAGAAGGGGATGAGAGAAAGAATTAAGACATATTATGTACATGCATAAACTCCCCATGAGGAGTATAGTCATTATATATTGTAGACATAAAAAATGGGAACAAGAATATGACTGTTTACATATATTCTTCTCAGAATCTGGTAGTTTTAATTTTTGAAATTTTCCTATTTTTTGTTTCTGTGAATAGGCAACAATATTATGTGAATCTTAGTGCCATAAGTTTTAAACAAACCAGAAGACTTCTATACATTTAAATATAGAATAGCAAAGAATTGGAAATTGAATACCTGTGTGTTCCAACACAAGCCTAGAAATAAGCCAGTAGCTAGATCTGCTGAGTCTCATGTATTCTTTCTACTATATTCTTCCTGTTGGACTAGGGAAAGTTGCTATGTTGAGATTTGTAGAAATTGTTGTTTTGGTTTTGGTTTGGCACCTAGGCATTTACTTTCTTCACTAGGTGAGTTGATTGTTTTTGGAGAAAATACTATAAATTTCCACTGTTAATTTATATAATTAAAAAATGTGTTCATTCATTTAGTGTTTTTATTTATTCCTTTCTTGCTTTTAGGTAGCTATATATAAATGTTTGTTTTTCACTGTGAATTTATATTCATTTGTGAGGTATTATGATGATAATAGCTAATGTTTATTGGTTTTAGATACAAGGCTTTGTTTTTTACTGTTTTATATGTGTTGGTTTACTTAAATCTCATAATCCATCAAAATAGATGTAAATCATGTATTATTTATAACTAACTATTCCATTATGTGGGAAGTATTTTTCTGAAAATTGTTAGAAAGTGTAGATATAGATTTTTTGTGTTTATTTAGGTTTTTCTAGATTCTAGAAGTAATTAAATCCCAGAAAACCTTGCTTTCTACTTTTTAAACCTCACTTTCTACTTTTTGATTGAATAAACAAAATGCCTGAAGAATTAAAAAAGTGTTGTATGTTAGCACATATAATAATGGATTTATGTTTTAAAACTAAATCTCTAATACCACAAGTTATACATACTAGGAATGAGAAACATCTGTGGGTAAAGCTAAGGTTTTCTTTAAAAATTAGTTTTGGTTCCTCTTCAATATTTGAACAAGGGAAAATATCAAGGATCTAGAATTCTAGACTGCATAATTTTATTCTGGACACAGTTCAAAGCAGGTGAAACTTGTTATTTTGATGGTCATTATAAAACACTCAAGGCATTTACTGTACACTTTTAAACAATGTAATATTTACTGAAACAGCTAAGATAAATTAATACTGAAGTGCAGTTTCCTCTTAAGTTTCCCTTCCCATTCAACATAATAATATTGTATATAGAATCATTGCCTCTTAGCTCATTAGGTTCTATACATAATATATTAAGGATGACTGTTTAGATTTTATAATACTTATTATAATATTAGACAGTAGGAAATAATGTTTTTGAAGAAGTTACTTCTGTCAGTAACATCTTCATGGAAAATATGCAGACCTTCAGGTTCATTGTATCTAGCTGATAGGAAATATTTTTACAAAATAAAAGGCTGAGAGAAAAGAGTAATATTAAAATCTACACTTGATATATGTGGTTGATGCATAAAATACTAATGTAAAATTTGACTTTCTATAGGCTCTGCAAATCAACAAGACCTTTCTTCAGGGAAAAATGAAGATTTGGGAACAATGCAAGAGAAATCTACCAAAAGTCTTGTTATAGGTCCTCTTGATTTTCGCTTGGACAGCAGTGCAGTACATAGGATTTTGAAAATGGTTGTTTGTGCCTTGGAACATGAATATGAGCCATACAGTAGGCTAAAACCAGGTTTGTTTTTGACTTAATTCTGGATCTATTGCTAGTTGATTTGAATGATTATATAATTCAATTTGTTTTGTTTTGATAATTTTTTTTCCTTGTATTTTGCCTGTCAGTAAGATTTTTAGGTATTAAGTTATCAATTTTGAAAAGGAACTTTTGTGTAGAATTTGTAGAAGAGGTCAAGATTTGGAAATTATTTGGTTAAGTACTTTATTTGAAAATGTTTGTCAGTGTTGAATGCTTTCTAGTGTATATTTGTGAAGTATGACCATGTATTCCATGCTAGTGTATTCTTCAGAACTAGATATGAAGATGACCTCTAACCATACAAATTTAGCGTTCAAGAAAACTGAGGTATGATAGGTAAAAAGGAATTTACTGTGCAAGTGATTGTTGTATTTGGAATAAAAGTAATTGTCATCACATAAACTACAAGTTCTTTTTTAATGCAGTAAAACACTCTTTGGGATAAATATCCAAGTGTGCAATTGTTAGACCGTATTGTGACTGTTTAGTTTTTAGAAAGAATTTGCCTGACTTTTTAGGAGTGGCAGTACCATTTTACATTTCCAACATCGGTGAATGAATGACTCAGTTTCTTTATATTCTCCTAGCATTTGGTTTTGTCACTTTAAATGTTTTTATCCATTCTGACGGTTCTGTAGTTTTTGTTTGTGTTTTGCTTTTTGAGACAGTGTCCCATGTAGTTCAGTCTGGCCTTAAACTCACTGCGTAGGCCAAGCTAACCTTGAACTCCCTACAGTTCTCCTGCTTCAGTTTCCGGAGTACTTGGAATTACAGGCATGTGCCACCATTCCTGGCTAGTTCCATGGTTTTAGTTAGCAATCTTTTGTAACTTTAAATAGCATTTCCTTACTGGCTCTTGTTAAACACCTCTTCATGTGCTTATTTGTCATTAAAATTTGTTTTACATTTTATTTCCCTCAGTAAACTATCTGTTCATGGTTTGTGTGTGTGTGTGTGTGTGTCTGTTTTCTAAAACTTGCCACTTTTCATTTTATATAAAAATCTTAATCTGCTCTGTGTGTATTTGTTTTTCCATAAGGAGTGCCATTTAAAAATTTATATGTTTTAGATTGATTTCTAGCTTTGCAGCAGGCACTATCTGTTGAAATGGTTATCCTTCCTCTATTGAATGTTAGGCACCTTTGACAAAAGGTGTCTTCTCTGTCTGTTTTGTGCTATCTCAGCACATGCACGTAGCATGAACTGACCAAATCAGGGTAAATTAGCATTTCCTTCTCTTCATTAGTGTGTTTAGAGCCTTTAAGTTCCTTCTAAATCTTCACTAAATAATACTAAGTCATTATGAATAATAGCTGTTCTGTGCCATGGAACATCAAAATTCCTTTTATCTGTGTTTTGGTACCTGCCTTTAAAAAAATTTTATTAAAAGAAAGACTAAACAAAACAAAACAGACAAAAATAATACATATTTTCAAAGAAAAAATAAAGAGTAAGAAATCACTAGTTGATAATTACTTACTGTCCTCTTAGAAATAGTTGTTCAAGATACAAAAATGAAACATACAAAGTGGGGATTCAAACAGCGAGACTGCAAACAGTTCTGTTCATCTATCCAACAAAAACTTTCTAATATGGTTATCAATCCTATACTCTTAAACATACATGCAGTTACCCATATCTTCATTTTTGTTGAGATTAAACAAACCAAAGCAGGCTAAAATCACCCTGAACAAAGAATAATAGTATTGCTGATTTCATATCATGACTCTACGGGATCAGCACTAGGTACTGTAGTGTCGCTTTTTCTTCAGAGTATTTGTTCATTTCACGTGCATTATAAGACCAGTTCTTGTAAGCTGTTTTTAGGTTCTACGCATAAATGAGTCTTAACAAGTATTTCTATCCTTTCTATATTAGAGGGAGAAGCAAAACAAAGCAAGACAAAACAAAACATATTCCTATAAACATGAAATGAAAACGACATAAAACCACTGTACAAGGTGTTTTACCATGGTTACTGTGTTGTCTCTTGTTATCTTCAATAGAATTGTCTATATCATCAGACATAGTATAATTGAATATAACAGTACATAACAATATTAATAAAAACACAACTTTGTAGATAGTGTAAAACTTAAAAAACAGGTAGTAATCAAACCAGAATGAGTATTGTAGTGAATCTTGTCATCTTCAGTGTAGTTGCCTACACTCTCAGACTTGATACTATCAATCATAACAGTTTTGAATAAAATCTGTTGATACCAAATAGCAATCAAACAAACCAGATTTAACTAAGATCAGTCATGATAAAACAGTGTAAGTTACACAGGGCTCCAGATTAAGTTAGTAGGAAATTAAAAATGATTACTATACTATATCCTGTTATTTTTGGGATAGCTGTCTGTGCCCTCAGGTTTAGTGCAAGTAGACAAACTGGAACAGAATAAAATCTTATCTAAGCAGAGTGCTACAAGCAATATGGGTTTTAAATCTTGATACACTATTAACAATATATTCTGCCATCTTTTTAAAGACTATTCCTCCCCTATCATTCCCCAGGGTGCACTATGCATTTTGGGGTTTCACAAACATCCTCAGTTTTTAGATTGAGGGGGCAACCTGCTATTTACCTAAGTGGCTCAAACTTTCTCCCTCCTGGACTTTAGCTTTAGTTGTATTCCTTTACCTATTAAAGCCTATCTTTCCAACCTACCTACAAATACTGGTCTAGTTGCTCCTATTACTCTCTGGTTCCCTGTCACATAGAGCATTGTTTTCTTACGTTGGATTTTCGGTCCATAAACCCTTTTTCAGATTAATTATATTTCCTATAAACAGCATCTCAGTGGGCCCTACCTCCTGATCTACTCTGCCTGTGTTTCTCTCGCTCTCTTTTTTTTTTTTAGTGTATCAAGGCCATCTATATTAGAGATTATAACCAACCTTCTCTGCCTCATTTCTGTTGTGTTCTTTTTCCGTTATTAGTTATCTGCTTTTCTTTTTCATTCCACTTTCTGCTCCATTCATTGAGGCCTCTCTGTCGTTGTTCCTGGAATCCTGGTACTTTTCGCTCTCTAATGTCCTTCTGAAATCTCTGTAAAGTTGTATTGGTGGTTTGAATTCCCCCAGTTCTTCTTTGTCTTGGAAGCATCTTGTTTCTCCATTAATTTCTAGAGACAGTTTTTCAGGTTACATCAATCTGGGTTGGAGGTTATTTTCTTTCAGGGCTTGGAATACTTCACTCCAAGCTCTTCTTGATGTGATGGTTTGTGTCGAGAAGTCTGCCATGATTTTGATGGATTTTTTCCTTTATAGGTAATCTGTTTCTTTTCTCTGTCAGCTTTTAATATTCTGTTCTTATATTAAACTTTTGGGATTTTTTGTAGCTCTGTTTTGGTTGTAGGTGGCTGGAGTTCTGTATGCCTCATACATCTGAATATATTTCCTTTTCCTATGTTTGGGAAGTTTTCCTTAATTATTTCTGTGAATAGCCTTTGCAGTTCCTTTGTTTGTATCTCTGCTTCTTCATTCACATTCTTTATTCTTAAGTTATAGATCCTCTTGTTGTCTTCCAGCCATTGTATTTTTACTGCCTGTTTACTTGTTATTTTTAAGAAGTTTTTCCTTTCATGATCCCACGTTACAAACCTGTCTTCCATTTTGGATAATCTGTCCTTAGTTTCTTTCAAGCAGTTTTGCCAGCTTTCAATGGAGTTTTTATTTCCTGGTAATCTCTTTGAACCTGGTTTATGTATGTATGTTTTTTCTTATATTCTTCATCAAACGTTTCTTTCCTTTTTTTGTGCTCCCCCATTCTTCCATCTGTGTCTTCTTGAGAGGTACTTAGCATTTCTTTTTTTAAAATCTACTTATATCTTGCTTTACTTGATTAAATATTTCACTTTTGAACTCATCTTTGTGGTCCTGAAGATATCTCTTTATGTCCACTGATCCTGTTTCTGATATTTCTTGTTTGTTGTCCTTAATCTCTTTTGTATTTAACCTCTCCTGATCAATGTTCTCAGGTTTGGGAGCCGGGGACTTTTTCATGTTGCTTCCTCTTCTCATATTTTTTGTTTGTTGCCTACAGGCATATAGAGGAGGTCCCAGTCCCTTTCCTTGTTGGTTACAGTTCTTCTGAAGCATGCTGGCCTTGTGATCCTGCCCACTCCAGTGTGTTATTGAGGTGCAAACAGGGGCAGCGTATGCTGGCTTCTCTCCTCTGGGTCAGTCAACCTGCAGAGGCCTTCATATGTTAATGTGCACTGCACATAGGGAATTGGTTTGGGACAACTTAATTGGATCTCAGCCAACTGCGTGTCCCAGGCGAAGCATATCCCACCAATCTCCTCTGAGAAGGGAACAACTGACTGAAGTCACTGTTGTTCCTTCTTCTTGCCAGTCCTTCCAAATTCCAAAATGTTGACCCATTGGTGTCCCTTCCCTGTAGAAGGGTTTTATTCCCAGCACTCATTGCAGGTCGATGCCCATCCCTTGCTGACTCCTTTCTCCATTGGCTCACTGACCTCCAGCTTCAGTGCAACTGTGGTTCCAGTGAGTCAAAGTGGTGGGAATTTGGGCACATGAGAGCACAGAATCTTAGCTGCCTCAATAGTATCCCAGGGACTGCATGTTCGACTGGTTCTTTTCACTCTAGTTTCCTCCAGAGTCTAGAAGATCCATCTCCCTCTGTCTGGGACTCCCCAGGCCGTGTTATTTTGGCATCTGAGTTGTCTGCCTCAGGGAGCCTCTGTAATCTGTTTTTATCTATCCGCCATCTTTACCTGCAGTCCAGTACCTGCCTTCTGACTTGTTATCTACCAACATCTAGTAGTCACTATTTTAACTTGGATCTAAAAATAGTCATGTTAGGGGCTGGGGATTTAGTTCAGCGGCATGAGTGCCTGCCTTGCAAGTGTGTGGTCGTGAGTTTGATCCCTAGTACCAATAAAAAAGAAAAAGACAAAATAAAATAAAAAAAAATAGTCATCTTGAATGTAAAGTAATGATTTATGTTG